CAACACCCTGCTCAAGCAGGAGCCCTTAAATGATTCTGGACAAATGGCTGTCTTAATCTGTTCTTTAAAAACCTCCAGTTTTTAAGTTCTGAAGGCGAGCTGTTCCACTGATTAATTGTTCTAACTGTCAGGAAATGTCTCCTTAGTTCTAAGTTGCTTCTCTCCTTGATTAATTCCCATCCATTGCTTCTTGTTCTACCCTCAGGTGCCTTGGAGAATAGTTTGACTCCCTCTTCTTTGTGGCAACCCCTGAGATATTGGAACGCTGCTATCATGTCTCCCCTGGTCCTTCTTTTCATTAAACTAGACACATCCGATTCCTGCAACTGTTATTCATATTGTCTTATTCTCCAGTCCAGTTTGGTGTATTCATACAATACACCAAACCAACATTATATTATCATAGCTGCAGTTTACTTCACATTACCAGCTTTGATCATTTGACAGATAGAAGTTGCATATTTGTACTCCTGGGAAAACTATGATTGACTTTGTCTATTTCTCTGGATTTTTTTTAAATTAAAAGACAGCATGTTCTGTGCACATTTTTATATCCTTTAACTAAAACTGCCTATTATGTTAGGTGGGGTGAGGATCCTGATTCATTGCTTGTTTCTAGTTGGATTTGTTCATGGACTAGAGATAGGGCCACGCCTAGTTTTTAAAATCTCAGGCAGCAAACCTTATTGAATTTGCCAGCAAGTTTACCTCTGTATTCTTTCTCCAGTTTGATTTATTTTGAATTTATGAAAATAACAGCTCATTTACTCTTCTCCTATGTGTAATGGTATGGGGGCATGATTTGGGGAGACAGGAGGAAGAGCTGCAAACTAGACGAGAGGCAGGTGAGTCCTCAGAAGGAATGTGGTTGTGGCAAACATCTCAGAAAGGATCCTCCCTACTTTCTTGGACTGTAAAAGTGAGGGGGGAGAGATGTACTTCCAGACTTCCAAGATTCTGTTAGTGTAAAATTACAATAAAGTTAGAGCTGGATGTGCTCCTTTTCTGGATTACCTCACAAACCTGACACTAAGATTTGGTGTCTTAATAAAGGAGTCTTTCTATATTCCTTAGACCAGGGGTGTCAAACTTGATTTCATTGAGGGCTACATCAGGGTTGTGTTTGACCTCGGGGGTGGGGGAAGGGCATGGCCAGGGTGGGCATGGCCAGCTCGACATCACTCGTGTCGGAGGTGCCTGTGGTGGCCCGAACACCCTGCCAGCAAAAACAGGCTCTGAAGCTTCAATTTTGGCTGCAACGGCTTCCTGCAACTCTCTGCCAGCGAAAATGGAACTCCGTTTTCACTAGCAGAGGCTCCGTGGGCTGTTCCTTTGCTTTTTCCAGGGCGGCCCTGCAGGCCGCATCTAAGCACCTCATGGGCTGCGTCTGGCACAGAAACAATTTAACAACCGGTTCTCTGCCCTAATGACCAGCTGGGTAGGCGGGGATCGGTGGTCATGTGACTGGGTGGGCATGGCCAACTCAACATCACTCATGTCGATGGGTGCTTTGCCTTAGCTGTTACAATGTAATAAGGGTTAACCGGAGAGACAGTTTCTGTAAGCAGGACAACAAAGATTAGGCTAGAAACAACACCAGAATGTTTCCTTCGGTTCACCGACAAAAAAAAGGCAAACAAAGGGCTAGCCGTCACCCCAATGCCAGCCCACACCCCCACTTAGGACCTAACCGC